CTCTGCCATCATCCATCCACCTCGTTATATATCATCTATGCTATTTTGTCCTCTTAACAATCTCCTTTTGTTTCTGAAAATCTGAACAAGAGATAAATGTAATTTTCTCTTCAGCCTGTTTTCCATTGTGGTAGCCTTGATTTTTCAAGGTCTTTTGGAGCCTGTTAAAGTACAAGAAACAATGTAGCAGTGCACATCCAGGACCTTATTTCGGAAAGATTAATGTTAATGACTGGAATAAAATATTTGTTGTGGCAACAGACATTTAAAAGTATAAGGGACGAGTATATTTAAGGGTGCTTTTTATATGAAACAAAAATCTTTGCTTATTCCTTTTATTGTTGATTTTTCAGCTGTTGATTATTTTTTTTTATTTTGGTGCACAGGTAAACACTGAAGACTTCAGAGGCATTGTTCGGGAAGATGCTGTTTTGTATCTCTTAGAAATTCCCAAAGGTGAAACAGTGACAATTTTGGCTCAAAGCAAATATGAAGGTAGGTGCTTTGAAAAAGAATGTGTGCATATCCATTAAGCTTTTAAGCTCTATTTTGTCAATGAAACCACAAGTAATTTATTTTGTGCCTATTCTTGATAGCGTTTTAGTTACCCTCCTGAAAGGAGTTTAGAAGATAGCTATATTTGATACCATGAGGGTCACACAGATGTGTGATGTGTTTTTCAGAGCATTTAATTATTAACGAATTGTATCTTTTGTTAATCCTGAAAAGTGGCAGTGTACTGCTTGTTCCTTCTGCTTTTCTGTCTGTTGAAGCTGGCCCAACATCTGCTGTTAGCATTTCTTTTCTGCTGTCCCTTGGCAGTCGTAAGGGATTCAGTTAGATGGCAGCAAATGGACAGTTTTACTGATCAGAACAGTTAAGGAGCAAGCAGAACCTCTTGCTTTCCTATTGGAGATGCAGCCTGCTGTAATGTTGAAGAACTTTGCTTTGGGAAGGAGCAGGTACCTCCTTCCCTCGGAGCTGTAAGGGCTGTACATGTACAGGTATACACTGTTGGTAATCTGTGTGTAGGGTAACAGATGTGAAGGCTGGTTTTTTGCATCTTTTTGAGATGGGAGGAAGAATTTTGTAAGTATTCTCTAGAATGATAGCTTAATCTTTCAAGTGTAAAAAAAAAATATAAACTAAAGGGGAGTTCCTTTTAGTTTACAGAGACATCATGGCCTGTGGCAGAGGAGATTCATTCTTCATCAGGAGCCACTTTGAGTGTGAAAAAGAGTCACCACAGAGCTTAGCATTCACCAGAGGGGAGATCTTTAGAGTAGTTGATACACTATATGATGGCAAACTGGGAAACTGGCTGGCTGTGAGAATTGGAAATGAACTGGAAAAAGGCCTCATTCCAAATAAGAGCAGGTAAGGTGGCATCCTGTATTCCTAGCTTATGACTGTGTGTGCAAGAGTACTCTGATGATTAAACTTCTTTTAAAAGAACTTCAGTGCTTGAATTTGTCTTGTATATCCTTATGGAAAATGTTTCAAGAATCTATTCCAAGGCTAATATTTCTTAGTAGCTGTAGTCTGTATTTTTGTGTGAAATACTGAGTGAACCACAGCAGCGTTTTTTGTTTAAATACGCTTTCCTAGTCAAAATTCATGTGAGGTAATAATAAGTGTTCAAATGTGCACAAAGAGTACAAGTATTTTAATTCAGCAATCTTTTAGCTATGGAGACTCAGAGCATCATTCTGACACTGTTTGCCCCAAGGCAAACGAACCTGGACTTCTCTATTCTTTCCTCCACTCATGGCTGGCTGTCTGGCAAATTACCTGCTGTAAATCCAAAATCCACTGTTCTTCAGTGAAAGTGCCTTTGCCCTCTTTAACTAGTTCTGCACAAATGAACTCTGTTTTTCTCTGTCAGAGCTGAGCAGATGGCCAGCGTTCAAAATGCCCAAAAAGACGGCTCAAGCGACAGGGCAGACTTCTGGAGAACACGTGGCCAGAGGTCTGGAGTGAAGAAGAATCTGAGGAAGAGTCGTGAGGATCTGACAGCTATTGTGTCTGTGAGCACAAAATTCCCAGCTTATGAGAGAGTTCAGTTGCGTGAGGGTAAGTGAGACTGCTGTGAGCCACCTGCCCATGTATTGCTGGCTGGTTTAGCATCCAAATGTTTGGTCAGCTATGTAAGTGATTTCAAACAACTTGGGTTCGATGTGAAATTTGAGAAACAGGAGGGGATGACATTTTTCTGAGAACACAAATTTCTAGTGCTATTAACTACTCTAAGAAAAAAGCTTTGTATGTTTTCAAACTGCCACTGTTCTTCTTTGCCTCCAAATTACACTTGCCGGTTTCAAGGTTTTAAATGTAAAAGGAAGAAACAAGCAGGGTTTTCTTCTTTCCTCTTGTCTAGCTCTGAAAGTACAATCTAAATTCCTGAGACAATTCACAATGCAGCTTGCTGATAGACACCACTTAACGTTACCTTGAGAGTAAATAAAACCCAAGTATTTTCAACAGGTTGACTAAATGTAATCAAGATTGATTACAAGGCCCGTCTCTGTGACTCTAAACTAGATGTCACTACTAGTGATGTTAACCAAGTCAAGATAATTTTATGGGTATTCACACAAAACAGCATTGTGGAACAAAACTAAGAGTAAAAAGTATTTTAAAGGAGCTCCCAGATGTCAAAATGAAGACAGGAATAGAATGCCATTCCCCCGTTAATTTATCAGGGCTGTGTTTGCATTTGTTTTCATACAAGCATAACAGAATTTTGCATTTTTTTTTCAAGCTGCCCTGCAGCTGGTTCAGCATTTGTATCTGTCTACACAAAAGCCACTGGCTCAAGGTTCATGCTATTTTGCTGGGTGAAAGGTTACTGAAGATCTGCTGTAGGATTTCAGAATGTAGAATCCTCTCAGTACATCTCCATTAGAAGGAATAAGGAAGTGGTTAAATTACAGCAATCCCTTCTGCTTTGTCAGCTTGTAAGAATAACTTTGAGTTAATGCTGTTGCACAAACTTTTGAGAAATCAAATTCTTAAACTATTTATTTTAGTATCTTATTCATAACCTTGGGTAGTAATTGAGGATGTTGTCTGTACCACTTCACTTATATATGAAACCAGTCTTATCAGACTTATGTTTTCTCCAAATATTTTTCTTTCAGCTGGTTTTAAGAGACCTGTGGTGATATTTGGCCCTATTGCAGATGTTGCTATGGAGAAGTTGTCAAATGATTTGCCTCACCTGTACCAGACAGCAAGTAAGTTGTCCTCCTAGCTTTCATATTATCCTTAACTGAGAGACTAGATAACTTAATAATCACAGCTCCCCAGCCACTCTTGATGAGCTAAAAATGTTGTCTTTGCAGAGGCAGAACCCAGAGACGCAGGTTCAGAGAAGTCAACTGGAGTGGTGCGTTTGAACACTGTGAAGCAAATAATTGAGCAGGTAGAGTATTCCTTTGTAAAAACTGTTTGCACTCAAAGGTATGTTGTTTGATTTGTTTGCCCCAAAAACATGCAGAGTCCTCAGATCTATTTCTGCAATAAGCAGACTTGGTGTAATGGTAGAGCTGTTTTGAAATTGTTCAACAATTATATTTACAATTTTGATAGCTGTCATCCAAGTGGGAGGATGAATCTAGTATTAGAAATTAAATTCTCCTTCCTTAGAACATTCTAAATTTGAGCAGATGGGCATCTGTGTTTTACTATATGAGTTCTGAATTTGCCATGGAGGCTTTACTGTTATGCAGTGTCCTACTTGTTCTTCTTGTCATCAGAAACTTAAGGTTTTCGATTGTTTCAGAGTTACTGCTATTGAACTGAATAGGAAGTGTCTATGATAGCTCAGTGGCATCTACTGAGATGGCATTGACTGTTTTTATAATACTGTTTAGAGATCACGTAAATAGGTGCTAATCAAGAAGCCTAAAAATCATAGGCAGAAAGAATGTACTTAGCTGCTTATTGCCCCGAGCCTGATAAAACCGATGCCAGAAGGGTTAGAATGTCACATGGAAGGCTGTTCAGAGCTCAGCCTCCACTGAAGCACATGTCTGAAAATCCCTTTCATCTTTGCACTAGAAGTAGCTTAGAAGGACTAAATTAAATGAAAGAAGTGGTATTTGCCTCAGCTAGTAAGTGCACATAGAAGTTCACAGATAACACCCAAAATAGTTGTGGTAGGGACAGGTAGAGAGTTAACTTTCACTACCTATTTGAAGAAAAAAGAAAAGAGGACTACGTGCATTTTACTTTACATACTTGATATGAGAGTTAGTTAACATGAAAATGTGGACTTTCAGGCAAAAACTGTTCAGAAAAATTGAGCTGAGAGAAAATGTCTGCCTGCTGCAGCTTCTTTGTGATATAAATGTGGGGAAAAATAATCCAACAAGTTGTGGTCTTACTTGGACAAAAATATCCTGGTTTTCCTAGGATACCGCATTCCAACCACCTCCTCTTCCCCACAAGCAGCACACTGACTTGGCTTTCTTGTTAACAGGATAAACATGCTCTGTTGGATGTGACTCCTAAAGCAGTGGACCTGCTAAATTATACCCAATGGTTTCCAATTGTGGTCTTCTTTAACCCAGACAGTAAGCAAGGTGTGAAAACCATGAGACAAAGGCTATGTTCCACATCTAACAAGAGCTCAAGAAAACTTTATGAACAAGCAAACAAACTGAAGAAAACTTGTTCCCACCTCTTTACAGGTAAGGAAAAATGTGTGTCTAACCTGCTTATCAGGAGAGTAGTGCAAGTGACTGTGAGTCTTGAGACATCCACTTACTATTCTGCTTATTAACTCATGCAGGCTGGAACTAAAAGGGTTCAAAGGTATAGTCATGAGCTATTCCTTGACTTATTTTGGCAATAAAATAAAAATACTGTCCTTCTCTTAATGATATAAATGAAATGGCTGTTTTACATTCTCACATAATCAAAAAAAAGTGTTAAACAACAAAGACTGAATAAAGGATCACATTGCTTTTGCTGTGTATATATACTTTTTTCTTCAATTTTTACAGCCACCATCAATTTGAATTCAGCCAACGACAGCTGGTATGGTAGTCTGAAAGATACAATTCAGCAACAGCAAGGAGAAGCAGTATGGGTATCAGAGGGAAAGGTAAGCAGTCAGTCCAGACTACTAAGCTGCACAGATGTCTCAGGATACCTCTTGCCTGTAAAAATTGTTGAAAATTTTGTTTGCCAATGCTAGATAGATTAGACAAGTAATCAGTTGATGTATTTCTTGGTAACAAAAAATTACTTGTTCTTTCTGTTATGCTTTGGAGCTTTCATCACTAATGCTGTGGCAAATATTTAATATTTGTTACTTAATTCTTACTGACTTTTCTCTAGATGGACACCATGGAAGATGATGCAGATGATCGTATGTCTTACCTTACTGCAATGGGTGCTGACTATTTGAGTTGTGACAGCCGACTGATCAGTGACCTAGAGGATACAGATGGAGAGGGAGGTGCATACACTGACAATGAACTTGACGAGCCCCTGGATGAACCAAGGATTTCATCTGTTAGCCGGTCCTCTGAACCTGTGCATGAGGAGGTGAGATGATTGGATTTTCAGCAAGACTGTATTTTGACCTTTCTGAAAGCCCTGTATTTATGGCTTAAAACCTGGAGTTTTTTAAACTGCAGCTTTATCTTACATCTGATAGTGGTTTAGAGCAAAAATAATAATAGCTTTAATATTACATCTGCAGTGATTGTGGTCACACTGCTGAAAGTCATTTGAATCCTGGTTACTCTTCCCAAAGTAGTCAACTTGAGACAGAGGACAAAACAAGATGGAACTGTTGTATACTGCAGTGAATTTTATCTCTTGTTTTCTTTCATAGAGTTTAAAAAAAATTAGTCAAGAACCAAGGGCTCAGTTGAGAAAAGCTGGTAGCAGGGAGATCCTTAGAGAACCCAGTCCACCTCCAGCATTCAAGCCGGAACCACCTAAGGTAAACTTGTAGTAACAAATCTGAATACAAAGTTCATCTGTCTGGAGTACTCACCAGGGTGGCACATTAGAAAACGCAGGAGGAATGATGAGAGACAAGAAAACATTGTAAGTGTGGAGAGAAGGAATAACTTGAAGGTGTTGCAGGATCAAGCAGAGAGAAAACTTAAATGGTAACAATTCTCTTCAAATATGTGTGATCACTATAGGGAATAAGAAAGTAGATTCCTTTTTGCGTCTGTCAACAAACTGAAAGGCAATTTCAATTTGTTCCTTTCAAAAAGGAATACATGTAGACTAATCACGAAAAGCATATCTGATGGCCATCATTGTAAAGCACAAAACCAGAATCGACCACCTTTGAAATCAGTCTCTTATCACTAGAAATTGTTGTTAACTGTCTATTCAGACTTTGCTCAGGAATGATGTGGGGAAAAATAAATTGCGGTGTTTGGATGGACACTAAATTCTATTTTAGCCATTCCTGATTTCCGTTGACACCACAGTCCTTCCCTTGTGAGGAAGGGTGCCCATACAAACTGCCTGTATTCAGAATACATTCAAATATGCCTTGACAATGGAGATTGGGCTGAGCAGAACATGTGTAAGGAAAATAAAGATGGAATAGAAAACGGCTTTGGGTCCTGTGCACTTCTGAACTCCTGGTAGTGATATTCTACCTTAGGTAATACTGACAAATCATTGGGCAAGTCAGTTTTCTCTGTGCTGTCCCCTAACACAGATTATAGTTCTGGTAATCCTTAACAAATGGGACAAACAAGTCTAAATGTGCTAGTCTTCTGTAGGTTGATGTGCAGTGTATGAGTGTATGGCCAAAATGTTGCAGCAGTTCAGATACTTTTCTAGTGTTACTTCAGATGAAGACTGACACTTAAATACGTAGGCAAAATGATGAATTTCAGATTAAAGCCTTCATTTAAATTGAGTATTATGAAGTTGCTGTTGTAAACTTTGTTTGCATGTTTTATACTTACAGGGAAAGTTACAAAACAAAGAGGATCTATATGACTTCCCCAAGAACTATGACTCCAAATCAAGTACTGTTGTCAGCAGTGAGACTTTACCTATATCAGCTAAACCAGCACCACCACCTGTTTCTTTGAAACCTGCCTTTGGGCGTCCCATCTTGAGAAACTCTCAGCCAGCAGTCCCACCTGCAGAGGAGGTGGAGGAGACAAGGTTGGAAGAGGAAGGAAGCGAACAAGAAAATACTCCAAAATCTGTATTAAGGAAAGTCAAAATATTTGAGGAGATGGATCATAAGGCGAGGATACAAAGAATGCAAGAGCTACAAGAGGCCCAGAATGCCAGGGTATGAAGAGATGCAGTCTCTGCTGTGCTTTCCAGCATATAGGACAGCCTGCATCCTGAAAATGAAAATTATGTCCCTTGCATTGTTTTGCTTCTGGAAGGAGAAATTTGGGAAACCATGCATACAGGCATACCATGTAAAAATAAGATATTTTTAAGACTTCCTACTGTAACTATAGAAAGCTGTCTTCTGATAATCGTGTTACTTTTGGCAATCCACTGTTTTCATGTGTGCTCTGAATTATTACTTGAGCAAGAGACTGTATACTTGTAAGAATATGAATAAGATCAGTTACCAACTTGTGGTAACTGTTGTAACCAACTTGTGCTTTAATAGTTTCAGATGTAGCTGTGACCTGCTAGATCTACAGTATAGCATCCTTAATGGACAGACTTAAAAAGAACAGTTATTTTCTCCTACTTTCTTTTAAAGCTTGAAATAGCCCAGAAGCACCCAGATATTTATGCTGTCCCTGTCAAAACACTGAAGTCAGAACAGAGCTGGCCCCAGCCTATGAGGTAAGGTGCATCCAGTTTAAAGCACTTTGTCTTGATTGTTTACTTCATCAGCAGGAGGAAAGCTCATCTTGCTGGTTTTTAATTCATACAAATAATCCTGCCTTGGTACATAGCTTTGTTGCTGTGCCTCAAGAATTACTGTAAAGGTGGGGCAGAATTCCAGTGCCGCCTTCATGTTTTCAGAGTATTTTTTTCTTTTAGTTCTTTTATAGTATTTGAGTTACCTAGGAGAAATCACTGTGTTCTTTTGCTGACATATTTGCAGAGCCAGTTTTTTGCCCCAGTCAGCATTACTCAGAAGCTTTTCTGCATTCATGTCCTTTGATGTGTGTTCTTCCTGTGCTAGATACTTGATGACTGTTAAGTCTATCCTGATGAATCTTTGCAGTTGTAATTGCTTAATAATTAGTTACTTAAATGCTTGTTCAGTTACAGATGTATTTTGTTGTTAGGGAAACTGAGGATGAAACTAGCCTGAGGTCATCCATCAAGTGTCATGAAAGTAGGAGTCTTCCATTAAAATTCAGTGAATTCTCAACTGGTTGACCATTGTGTCACCTTACCCTACACACTGCATGTATCTATGACTTGGAACAGTCACCTGTGCACGCTATTTGATAGGTTTTGTTTTCTGCACTTCAGGACTTTAAATTTTTCTTGCCTCTTAGGAACAGCCAATAGGAATGGAACTTTTTTTTGCTAATGAATTAAATCCTTTGATGTCATAGTATATAATATAAAATGCAAAAATGAGAAACATAAAGTGATTGTTTTCAGGTTTTCTTGGTGGGCTCAGAAAGGCATACTTTTTACACAGCCTTGGAAGCTCTTTAGAAATAGTGAAAAGTAATCTTTTAACCACATACGCAGAGTGTTTGCTTACATACAGAAATCAGCACTGTTGCCTTTTTACAGGAATGTTAATGATTGGCCTAGAGGAGGGGGTGTTTAAGCATTGGGGCAGTATGGAGGGAGGATAACATCTTGTTTTTGTACAATGTGGGATTGCGAAAGTTTTGGCTTTTGAAACTGAAGAAATGCCCTTTCTTGGCAGATTTGATTTCTATCTATCTGCTTAGTGTCACATTAAAAGGGAAGAACAGAGTTTATAAAAAGCAAATGTGTGGGTTATACCTGCCCTGTTTTAAGGATAAGAGCCCTAGTGAGAGCCTTGAGTGAGGAGAGAAGGCTATAAATTTAAGAAATGTTACATAAGAAACCTTCAGATGGGAAACCAGGGATGCAAAAGAAGAAGCAGGCTTAAAGAATCTGGTGCAAAAATAACTGGGGGAAATGTCAGCTGGTGAAGCAGCAATGGCTGAGAACTGCTCCGCTGAGGGAGTGAAGTGCTATTAAGCTCTTGATATGTGTGTGTGCAGGTTGCTGAATAATTTTAAATAATTCCAGGTAGGTTGAGTAGATCAAAGCTGAACACAAGGCTCCAGCTTGATGGAAATAAGGTGCCTCTCCAGAGGAGGCTTGCCATGGCCATGCAAATGTTTTTGGGCTAGAAGGAGTTTCATTTGTTCCATATGCCTTTCTTGGTGGTACATGGCCATAAAGCCAATACTATATAATTATTTTTCAGCTTTTCAGAATGGAAGTAAACATTGTCTCTCTCCTTCCTCATCTTGCTCTGTTAGCTCGAGACCTCCAGAACCCCAGAAACCTCCTGTTAGACCTTACCTGGAGAACCGTGGCAGTTACGGCAGTGATGCGGAGGAGGAGGAGGAGGAGTACCGTCGGCAGCTATCCGACCAGTCCAAGAAGGGGTATTATGCACAGCCATCCAGATACAGAGACACAGAATTGTAGGCTTGCTAGTGTGTGCATGTATAATGCTCTTTTGAGGTTTCTTCCTTCACAGCTGAAGTGAAGCAGTAGTTAGTCTTGAAAAGCTGTATTTTTATTGGGGGTGCTGTTAGAGGGTATGCTACTCAACTTAGACATATCTGTATGCTGAACTGGAAGAGTTCATTTTTGGGGATATTATTTTGTTAGTGTCTAAGAAAATAAATCACTATTGCCTGAATGCCATTGCCTGTTTTATAAGGACCAAATTCTGAAAGTTTGTGTTAGTTCTCTGTATTTCCATATTTAACATAAAAAACCCTTTTTTCAATTTACTGATGCTGCCTTTTTAGACTGTTCTGCTGTGTTATGCAAGTATGATCCCAGAGATACACTTCTTAATGCAACAGAACTAAATTTGAAAGTGTATTTAAAGACCAGTAAGTGCCTTTAACAAGATGCATATTAAACTGTTTTGAGATCTGATGCTTGGTGCAAAGCCATAACACACTAAAAGGGGATCTACTGTTATACCGGTCTGTTGGTTTTTTTTTTTTTAATCAGTTTAATGGTAATAATTTCCCTTGCATGTTATTTTTCTAAGCTCATAGATGCATATGCAATATTGCATAAATACTGACTGTACATAATAAAGGTGCAATTGGCTGGGTTGTTGGAAAAGACGATAGGATATCCTTAAACAGGGAAGGGAAAATTATGTAGAAATTCAATCATGTATTAAAATTTATACAGACTGCAATTAATAAAGGATATATTCTAGAACACCTTGTGTATCTTTTTTTTTTTAACAGTATTAGTCTTCTAGAATCCCTAACTTGTATGAGCATACTTACTGCAGTACACTTTTCAGTTCATGGTCTTATCTCCTGCTGTTCAAGCAACTGGAAAACATGACTGTTGATCTTGCTTCCCAGTATTCTGAAAGTCGTTTTAAAATTTGCTGGGATTTTAACTACAGACTTACTGCAAGAAAATTATTTTTGAAAGTACTAATTTCTGCCTCCCTATTCCTGCCATTTATCTTTAAATCTGTTACATCAAATAAAAATTCTTGAAAGGGCCACAGAGGAATTTATTTTTGCTTATGTGATAAAAACCATGGTTTTCTAATGCTTTCTTAAAACAAAAAAAGGTAGAATTTTCTTCTTGAAGCAAAGGAATAAATGCATCTCAGATAGTAAATTTGTGCCAGTCACCATAGATTAGAATCATAGAATAAAATCACTTAGGCTGCAAAAGACCCTTACAATCACAAAGTCCAACCATAAGCCTAATCCTGCCAAGTCCACCACTAAACTGTGTCCCTAAGCACCACACCCGCACATCTGTTAAATACCTCCAGAAGTGGTCACTCAACCACTTCTCTGGGCAGCTTGTTGCAATACTTGAAAAGCCTTTTGGTGAACAAATTTTTCCTAATATCCAATCTGAAGCTCCTGTGGAGCAACTTGAGGCCATTTCCTCTTGTCCTGTTACTTGGAAGAAGAGACCAAGCCCGACCTCATTACAACCTCCTTTCAGGTAGTTGTAGAGAGTGGTAAGGTCTCCCATCAGTAGTCTTTTCTCCAGGCTAAACAACCCCAGTTCTCTTAGTTGTTCCTCATAAGACTTACCCTCCAGACCCTTCACCAGCTTCATTTCTCTTTGGATGTGCTCCAGCAGCTCAATGTCTTCGTTGTAGTTAGGAGCCCAAAACTGAACATAGTATTTAAGGTGTGGACTCACCAGGGCTAAGCACACAGAGGCAATCACTTCCCTGGTCCTGCTGGCCATGCTGTATCTGATACAAGCCAGGATGCTGTTAGCCTGCTTGGCCGCCTGGGTACACTGCTGGCTTATGTTCAGCTGGCTGTCAGCATCCCCAGGTCCTCTTCCAGCAGGCACCTTTCCAGCCACTCATCCCCAAGCCTGTAGCGCTGCATGGGGTTGTTGTTAACTGAGTGCAGGACTCGACGGCCTTGTTAAACCTCACACAATTGGCCTCAACCCATCTATTCAGCCTGTCCCAAGTCCCTCTGCAAAGCCTTCCTACTGTCGAGTTCAACACTCCCAGCCGACTTGGTGTCATCTGCAAATTTACTGAGAGTAATCAATCCCATTGTCCAGATCATTGATAAAAACACTAGAAAGATCATTATAAAATTGATACATAGTTCAGGATCATGCGAAGACAGTGGGAATAAATGACATTGGCTTAGCATGAGGAGACCTTCTACAGTAAAAATAAAAAAAAACCCAAACAAACCAAACAAAAATCCACACCCTGAGCAGGGGAATTAAGGCTGCTAGGAAGAGTGCTTCTGCCAGGGATCAGTTGGAGCTTTTGCCCGAGTGGCTGTGCTCTGGGCAGGCAAAACACCTGGAGCTGAAGGAGGGGCTGTCTGGTTGCTGAAGAGAGTGCTTTCTTCCCAATATGAGGCAGAGAAAGGCTCCCTCCACATCACAAGGGGCACGGAGACCTGTCAGGTAGTAGTCTGATGGTACCAGGTCTGGCAAAGATGTGGATGTGGTAACAAATTGTATGGGCCTGGCCTGGCTTAGCATGGGGGGTGGTTAGTAGGTCGAGAGAGGTTC